GGACACAATCCTGGCAGAAGTGTCTGGGGAGGGTGCTCTTTCCTGAATAAAAAGGCAAATCCTGTCTAGGAGAAAGCCATTTTGTTCTGTTCTCTTATCCTCCTGGTCTTTTTAGTTTTTTGGTGACTCATTTAATGCTGTTTTCAGTCCTCTAATTTCTTTTAATTTCTACTTTATTCTAAACATGATGCAAAATCAGTATGAGTTGAGGGTCACTGTCTTATTAAGACATCGGCTGCATATCACGTATACCTAGACTATCTGAAGCTAAACTTGTTAGGTGCTGTTGAGTCGGTAACAACTCATAGTGACCTTATGTATAACAGAACGAACTACTGCCCGGTCCTGCTCCAAACTCACAATCATTTATATGCTTGAGCCCATTGCTGCTGCCACTGTACCAATCCATCTCATTAGGTAGGGGTCTTTCTCTTTTTTTGCTGACCCTCTACTTTATCAAGCATGATGTCCTTCTCAAGGGACTGGTTCCTCTAGATAACATATCCAAAGTAGGAGAGAAGTCTGGCCATTCTGGCTTCTAAGGAGCATTCTGGCTGTACTTTGTCCAACACAGATTTTTTTTTTTTTGTATTCTATGGTATTTTTAATATTCTCCTCCAAATCCATAACTCAAATGCATCAATTATTTTACAGTCTTCCTTAGTCATTGTCCAACTTTCATATGCATATAAAGTTGTTGAAAATTCCATGGCTTAGGCACTTTAGTACTCAAACTGTTATTTTTGCTCTTAAACACTTAAAAGAGGTCTTTTGCAGCAGATTTGCCTAATGTAATTTGGCATTTGATTTCTTGACTGCTTCTTCCATTTAGTGTTTGATGGTTGATCCAAGCAAAATGAAGTCTTGGACAGCTTCAATCTTTTCTCTATTTATATTGTTGTTATTTATTGGTCCAGTGGTGAGGATATTTGTTTTCTTTACATTGAGGTGCAATCCATACCAAAGGCTGGGGTCTTTGATTTTCATCAGTAAGTATATTAAGTACTCTTTTCTTTCAGCAAGCAAGGTTGTATCAGCTACATAACAAAGGTTGTTAATGAGTCTTTTTCCAATTCTGAAGCTACATTCTTCTTCATATAATCCAGTTTCTCAGATTATTTGCTTAGCATACAGGTTGAATAAGTATAGTGAAAGAATATAAATTTGATGCACACCTTTCCTGATTTGAAACCATTCAATATCCCCTTGTTCTGTTCAAATGACTGCCTCTAGGTCTGTACATAGGTTCCTCATGAGCACACTTAAGTGTTCTGGAATACTCATTCTCCTCAATATTGTCCATAGCTTGTCATGAGCCACATCATCGAAAGACAGCATAGTCAATAAAACACAGGAAAACATCTTTCCGGTATTTTTTGCTTTCAGCCAAGATCCATCTGAGGTCAGCAAAGATCTCCCTCATTCTACATCCTCTTCTGAATCCAGCTTGAGCCTCTAGCAGTTCCTTATTAATGTACCGTTGCAACTGTTTTTTGTTTTTGTTTTTTTTAATTAGGAGCTGAACTATAGGCATAAAAATGCAGTAAAGTGATTTTTTTTTCATGACCACCTCTGAGTTCATCATACTGAGAGTTAAGTCACATCTCTCTCAATCTCTTTTCTTGACCAGAAATTCTAGTCAATAATTTCTTAAACATTCAGGGTGATGGTGGTGGTGTGATGTGGAGTAGGTTCTGACTCAGTGACCCTGTAAGGTTTCTGAGGCTGTAAATCTTTATGGGAGTAGAAAGCCTCATCTTTCTCCTGTGGAGCGGCTGGTAGTTCTGAACTGCTGATCCTGAGATTAGTAGCCTGACTTGCAATACACTACACTAATAGAACTCCTTTCTTTCGATACAGCTATCTAGAATCACAAAGATACTTCTTCATGTGCTATGAAGGATATATGGTTGATAAAAAACCATTCTTATTCTTGTGGAGTTGACAATTTCATGAGATGACAGATGTTCACAAATAAATTTAAAACAAGTATGCAGATGATAGGTCATGCCTCTAACAGGACATGAATGGCTGCAGATAAAAGTAATGCACCCCAAATACAGGCAAAGCACAAGTTTCAAGGCCTAGCAGCTTGAAAGTAGGTCTGGGTGATAGGCTTACAGACCAGATAAATTATTTCCTTATGTGGATTATACATTATTTCTGAATGCTGAAGAGCCTAGGGTTAGACAAATATTGAGTCTACAGTTCTATGTTCCTCCAACCTGGGGGGCAGCTTGTTCCATGTGTGCTAGCAAGACCACTGAACTTCATATATGATTCTGCCAGATACAAGGGAATCAGTGGGCTCTCTATCCACCACCCTACATTCTCATGTGGCTTATGTTCTGTGTAGTTTACTTGCTGCCTCAGAATTAATCTAAGGAAAAGCAACCCTGAAATGTGTCCATGTTGTTATCCTTGCTCATTTTTAGTCTCCTTGTGCAGTGCAACTAGTATGTCTTCTGTCCACAGTCTTTGTAACTCCCACCACACATTTTGCCCTAATGGGTCTGGGTAAGAGAAGGTGGGAGATGCTTGTAAGATTATGTGATTCAGTTGTGAGTGTTTAACAGGGTTAAGTATGATTGATTGCAAAAACGTGGAACTCTAACGTGTGTAAAATGAACTATTTCAGACGCAGGAGCGGGTAATCTCACTACCATTAAATTAGAGCCAAGAGTGGACTGCATCCTGTGGACCCCAAGTTCCATGAGCATTTAATCTCCTTGACCGAGGGACAGAAAGCTGTGACACCACAGAAGTGGCAGAGGACCAGCAGCAGCAGAACCAGAAGCCAGAGCACAATGCAGAATGGTAGGCTGCCCAACCCATGGAGCAAATTAAGTTGAGTACTTCTGGGCAGGAGGCTTGCTTGCAGAGTAGGGTGACTCCAGGCACTTAACTGGGGGCGCTCGGTTTGCTGACCAATGGAGCTAGAGCCCAGTGTCTTCAGGTTGAGGCTTATGTGGAGTGGTGTGTCCTCTGAGCATTTATCAGCAGCCCTGAACAAGCTTTGTAACATTACCAGAGTTGGAAAGAGGCCAGGCCAATAGCCAGAGAGAGTCCCGCCTGAGGGCACAGCAGAGGCTGTTCTGGCTGGAAGAACTATGCCAGGAGCATTTCTGGTCCTGACTTGTAACCTCTTCACTTCCCTAATTAGCCCCATAGCTGTTAGTATGGTGTCTGAGCTCTGTGCTGCCATTGCAATGAATTACTGAACCCAGCTGAGGAGTAAGGCACTGTTGAAGGGATGTTTGGTGCCGTTTTCTACACCTTGAATAAGGCACATGCCTGTGGAGGCATAAGAAGTGCCATCTGAGCATTACCAGGAGCGTTAAGAATTGTGAGGAAGAAGAAACCATTCTGGCTGGAGGCTTCATGGACGTGGTCCATGAACTAGATTGTCAAACATGCTTAAGATTTCCTCAGGTGAAGATGGCAGAAAGGGCACACATGAACATGGTACAATGTAACTGATGAATTGGAGGAGAGGAGAGCTGTGTACTGGAAGGAGAGGAGTCCAGTTTGGCTGGAAAATAAAACAGCATATATAGGAGGAAACAGTGGAAGATGAAGATGGAAAGGGAATCTTGACAGTTAATATATAGAGAATGAGATCCACAGATGTTTTTGAACAACTACTAAAGCAAGTGAATTAGTAAGATACAGCATACACAGATAAATCAAATAGAATTATTACTGAAAAAATTGGTGAAGAGGCTGGGAGATCTCTTAAAATGTGAAGAAATAATCCGTGGCTATACTGTTATTGGAGAATAGATGAATGACTTGACCACTTTTAAAAATTATGGAACTGTTTGGCTCAATGAACTACAGAGAGGAACCATATATGAATTTGGACATACAAAAGGATGGTAGCGATGTGATTACATAAGTGTATACGGAAGTCAGGTGGAGGCACTGGTATGAAGGAAAGCATATCTTTTTGAGATATTGAGTTGATATGCTGCTGGGATTTCCAGGAAATGTGGTACACCCAGTGATGAAAATCAAGAGACGGGCTCAGGAGAGAGGTGGAGTGAGTGAATTACATACATTGGGGTGAGTCATTGAGTTTGGTCTATCATCAGAACCTAATAACAGGCCCTAAATACATGACAAATGTAACAAGGAAGTCAAAGCACCTGGGGGTAGGGAAGATGTGTGTATTCGTGTTTTGGGGTGAGGTTGGGGAACAAACGAAAAAATACTGTGATTACAGGTATTTAAAAATCATGTTTGTTTTACCAGCTGTTAATTTCTCAGAAACCAACCCTCAACTGAAATACCACCTCCCAACTGGCAAGTAAATTGTCAAAGGGCAGTCTTTGGAAACCTGACATTGAATTGCCAGACATTGCTCGTCTAGAATATAGAAATATACGAATTACACAACTAAGTGCATTAAAGCACACTCTGGGGTGTTGGGGACACATAGCTCAGAACCAAGAGTACAAGTGACAGAAATTCATGATCGCCAAATGAATTCAACAAGTAAACCCATGGTAATGTTCCCAAGGAGGGGTATGGCTGTGTCAGGGCTTTGGCCGCAGGGAAGGAGAGGAAAGGTTAAAGAGAAGACCAGCAGCTGGAGAAAGATGAGCAAAGCTGCTTGCGTAGGTCCCAGTTGGAAGCTGGCCCACGTCATCGAGCATACTCGCCCTGTTGCTCACTACCCGTGACCTCCGCGTACAATTCCAAGGAAGGGGCCTCCTTGACACAGGGGAGGGAGGAGTCATGAGAATGGAAGTTAAGAGAGTAGAAAAGCTGGTTAGAAGGAGCTAGAGGCTGGCGCCCAGTCGGCTACTACATTCCCCAGCATTCAGTGCGGCAACGAAGTCTTGCTCCCTGGAAGCTGATGGAACACTTGAGGCATGGGACTGGTAGTCGGCTTCACTGGCTGCCAGAAGTGGGTGTCTGGTGGGGCGATATATAGGGATTGGCTAGTGAGCGTTCGAGTCCCGCCTACTCATGGTGACGACAGGCGACAGTCTAGGTACTTAAGGCGTCGTGGCCTCGCCTGCCCCGCCTTAGCTCCCGCGCTAGAGAGAAACATGTATCGTTTCCGATCACAGCTCTTCACGGGGATTTCTGCTGCCGCCACCACCCACTCTCACCCTCGCCGCTTCTCGCCTCTGTTGTTAGTTGAAGACTCGCCTCTTAGTTGCCCGCCGCACAGACGCACGAGTAAAAAGTGCAGCTCCATCGGCTGATCCTCGCTAAGCTCCGAGTTCAGGCGGCACCGGGCGTCCCACGATGCCGAAGAATAAGAAGCGGAACACTCCCCACCGCGGTGGTAGTGGCGGTGGCAACACAGGGGCAGTTGCAGCTACTGCGGCTACAGCAGGTAAGTGAATATCCTCGCCACCGGCATCCCAGCCGCCAACCGGTTAGCGAGTCTCCAACCTAGCTCGGGCACAGTGGGAATTGTAGTTCTTTCTCCCTCGGACGTTTGCATATTAAGGTGCTTAACTTGGCTGGAGAACTACAATTCCCAGCGTGCTCTGGGGGAAGTGCATCGCGTGATTTGGATCTGGTGTGCGGACCTGACTTGGGCTGTGGGGGTTGGGAGGAAGCGAGTAGGTCCTTGGGCCTGAGAGTGGATCGGGACATGTGGTGGCAGGGAGGGAAACGAGCTGCCCTTGGAAGCCGCTGCGAGCTCTCCTATGTTCTTGAGGAAGGGTGGGACAGAGCTCGGAATTAGTAACCTACTGTCACTGGCATCTTGGAGTCCCGGCTCCAACATGGAGTTCGCGGGAATGCACCCGCCCAGCGTGTTAGGGAATGTCCGACCAGTTTGGACGGGATCTAGCCTTACGAGGCCTGAGCCTTGCCCGACGGGCCGGTGTGACGCAGATGTGCCGGCTCTGCATCTCTGTCCACCTGGCTGGGTGGAGGCATCGGGGACCCCAGCTGATGTCCCAGCCTGGCCCTGCTCCTACCCGCACATCCCGAGCCCCCAGTTCCACTGCGACGTCCCGCGCTCCTTTGTGCTGGATCCTGGATAGGCAGGGCTAGAGAAGAGCTCAGACTGCAGTTGGCTAAAAGTTTAGGGATGTTTGTGTGTGTGTGTGTGTGTGTGTGTGTGTGTCCCTAATGCCAAAAAATCTCAAAGTTTTCCTGATGGATGGGTGCAACATTAAATTTATGGTTCGCTACTTACTAACCATATGGTTAAGAAAAAGAAATGATTCCAAGCGGAAACTCCTTTCACGGGACACTCAACTAAATGCAAATTGAGTGTTAATGTATACTCCTAGTTATTGGTCGAGTTTATTAAATAATGACGATTCCTCAAACATTGCCTCATGATGACATTGAGAATGATATGAGTATATAGATCATTTTTCTTGTTGATGATGATGATGGGAGATCGGCATTTGAAAAGATATATAGTAACACTAAAACTTGTGATCGTAACCAAAACATTTAATAGGTCACCTTTGATTTCAGTGGAAAGCTCTTGATGTTCGTCAAGTTTATTCTTGATCAAGATGTAAAACAAGTTTTTTGTGACATCAGGTTCATTGGCGTCACCTTTTTCTTATCTGAAGTAAACATTTGAGTTCTATCTAGACGGTCCTTTTAAACTTAATGTTTCTTTAAACGATGAAGTTTTTTAAGTTGCTGAAATAGAAATAAATATAGAGAAGCAATAAGGTAAAGTAATTTTGAAAATAGTCATGCTACGAATGGTACTTGAAATCATAACAAAACAAAGCCACCCATTGGCAATCCATAAGATTCTGAGTCATGGCGATGCCATATGGTAGAGTAGAACTGTGCTACAGGGTTTTCTTAGCCCCGATCTTTCTAGAAACAGATTGCCAGGGCTTTTTTCTGCAGCACTTCCAATCGAATATGAACCACCAACCTTTAAGTAAGTGTTGGGTGCTGTCGGGTCAATTCCAACTCAGAGCAACTTCATATGATCGTAAAATTGCTTGCTCCGTAGGGTTTTCTAGGCAATCCTAATGGGAGCAGATTCCCAGGTCTTTTTCCCACAGAGCCACTGGGTGGGTTTGAACTGCCAGCGTTTCAGGTTAGCAGCTGAGCTTTGCACCACTAGGGCTCCTTTTTAGGTTAGAAGTCGAAGTGCGTGCAGCCTTTATTCCCTTCTGAAGTCCCCCTGGCAGATCTTTTTAAGTCTCCTACTGGGATTACCTTTCAGATTTTTACTTCAAGGCTCATTTGTAGGCAGCTCAACCTTAAGCCTGCTGCCTTTTTTATACTTTGTTTTCAGTAGAAAAGTTACTTTTAAACACTGAAGTTTAATATACAAAGGAAAGAGAAAATCATTCTTTGCTTATAAAGTTACATGTTTTGAAGATCTTTGGAATTATGTACTTTGTTGTTGCTAAGTGCCATTGAGTCAGATCTGACCCATAATAACTCTGTATAGGGTTTCCATGGAGCAGCTGGTGAGCTTGAACCACCGACCTTGTGGTTCAAACTGACTTTGCAGGTTAGTGCTTTAGCCCACAGCGCCACATCAGGAATTTTGTACCAGAACTAGTTAATTTTGATGAGTGGAACGTGGGGTGAGATTTGTTTTTGTGAAAAAAAGTTTTATGTGTAACTTTTAGTTACACATGCATTTATTACTTATCTAACAAAAATGCAAGTGCTGGAAAAGTATTACAAACTTGTGCTTATATTCAAGCCACTTTACTGTAATTTTAAATGACAAGAAAAAATAGAATTCAAAATTTGTTACACAACCAAGTTTGTCGCCTGAAGGAGTTTCCCTTTAAAGTTTTTTAAGTTGACGGTGAATACTCACTGTTATGTGCTGTGGAGTCAATTCCGACTCATAGCAAACCTGTATAGGGTTCCCAAGGAGTGTCTGGTGGGTTTGAACCACTGACCTTGTGATTAGCAGTCTAATGTTTATTCTACAGCAGTAATTCCCCTTGTTCATACCATGATCCACTGTTTCTCTGTAGCACCTCAAATAAATGTAACACGACTAACATTTTTGAAACATTGGAGAACTAGAGGAGGGAAAGCTAATAAAATGCACCTCTTAGAAAAGACAATGTAATTAAATATGGAAACTTTTCGGCTTTTGCTGTTTTGACTAGAATGCTCCATTCTGTGATTTTTCATTCATCCATGACCAAGATTCAACTCAGAGGGGCTTCCTTTATTCTCCTAGGCTGATTTATGTGCCTCTTTGACCACCTATGTATACCTCTGTCAGAGCTTAATTACACTTAAAGAATGGGCATTTTAAGGGAAGAAGAAAGATGTACTGCTAAGTACTAGCACCACCGCTAGCTGCTGAGTTGATGCCGAATCTTGGCGACCCCACTTGTGTCAGAGTAGAACTGTTCTCAGCAGGATTTCCAATCACTGTTCTTTTTGGGAAGTAGGTCACAGTCCTTTCTTCATGGTGTCTCTGGGTGGACTTGAACTTTCCTCCTTTTGGTTAGCAGTTGAGCATGTTAACAGTTTTGAACCACCAGTCTAAAGAGGACCATCACATGAACGCTACACACCAAGGTACTAGGCATTAATTTAAGGTTTTTGATATTCTTGAATATTTTTAACTTTCGTCTTGGTCTTGAGTCTTTGAGAGAACTCAGGGAAATATGAGGGAGGGCAGGCATCAAAAAGTTTGTGGGAAGTTTCCATTGTCTTTTAATTCTACTTTTCTGCAAACTAAGCCTCGTCATAGATTAGTTAAGAAAAGAGAGTTGAGTAAGAGCTGACATAGACTCAGATGACTAGCAAGAATTGCCCAGAGACTGTCAAGAATGCTT